CTGCCTTCATCTACTTCATAGGTCGTAACTTCAAAAAAATTCAGTTTGTGAGATACGATGTCCCATGCAAAAAGCCATGCTGACTATCCCAAATTAGACCTTGCCTTTCCAAATGCATGTAGATCCTATCTCTCGGAATCCCTCCAACAACTTACTGACCACTGACATCAGGCCCACCAGTCTGCAGTTCCTGGCTTTTCCTTGCAGCCTTTCTTAAATAATGGCACAACATTAGTCACCTTCCAGTCTTCTGGCACCTCATCTGTGGCTGTTGATGATACAAAATATCTCCGCTAGGAGTCCCACAATTTTTCCCCAGCTTCCCACAGTGCTCCCTATTCCTGCTAGCCTTGGCCTTCTCACCAACAGGAACATGCTGGTCCTGAACTCTTATTATCTCGCTTTTCACAGCCTCCCACGTGCCAGATGTAACTTTATCTCCCCCAATCAACTTTTGAAAGCTCCTGTTCAATACAATCAAAACTGGTCTTGCCCCACTTTAGAACTTTAATCTATGGTCCTGACCGATATTTGAACGACTTTTCCATTTCCTGCTCCCCCATTATTATTTCCCCAATTTCATTATTGAAGGGATGCATGTTCACTTTGGGGTTTCTCCTTTTTAAAATATTTACAGAAGTTCTTAACTGTCCATTATTATGCTACTTGATAGTTTACGCTCATAGTTTATTTTCTTCTTTTTTGTCATCTTTTGTTGGATTTTAAAACTTTCCCAATTCTCTGCTTTGTCACTAATTTTTGCCATATTGTATGCTTTCTCTTTTAATGTGATATACAGTAATAGAGTTATATAGCATGGAAACAGACCCTTTGGTCTACCTGACCCATGCTGACCAGATATCCTAAACTGATTCAGTCTTATTAGCCGGCATTTGGCCCTTATCCCTTTAAACCTTTCCCATTCATGTACCTATCCAATCTCCATCATTTCTTCTGGCAGCTCGTTCCATGCATATATAACTGTCTGTTGAAAAGGTTGCCCCTCAGGTCCCATTTAAATTTTCCCCTCTCACTGTAAAATAATGCCCTCCAGTTTTGGACTTCTGTGTCCTGGGGAGAAGACTTTACCTATTCAACCAATCCATGTCCCTCATGATTTTGTAAACCTCTATAAGGTCACCCGTCAGCCTCCTACGCCACAGGGAAAAAAGTCCCAACCTATCCAGCCTCTTCTTATATCTCAAACCAGTCTCAGTACCATGCCTGTAAATCTTTTTTGCACCCTTTCCAGTTTAATAACATCCTTGCTATAGCAGGGCAACCAGAGTTGTATACAGTGCTCCAAGTGTGGCCTCACCAATATCTTGAACAGCCATAACATGATGCCCTAATTGTTGTAATCAATGCTCTGACCAACAAAGCCAAACGTGCCAAACTCCTTCTTCATCACCCTGTCTACCTGTGACGCTACTTTCAAGAAACTATGTATTTGTACCCCTCAGTCTCTCTGTTCAAGAACACTCCTCAGGGCCCTAACATGAATGTGTTAGTCCTGTCTGGTTTATCTTACCAAAATAAAACACCTTGCATTTATCTAAATTAAACTCCATCTGCCATTCCTTGGCCCAATGGGTCAGTTGATCAAGATCAACTCGTTATACTCGTAGATAACCTTCCTCACTGTCTACTATACCACCAATTTTGGTGTCATCCACAAACTTACTAACCATGTCTCCTATATTCTCATGCAAATTGTATATATATGTGATGAACGAGAGGGGACCCAGCACTGATCCTATGGTACACTGCTAGTCACAGGCCTCCAGTCTGAACAACCCTCATCATCATCATCTGTATCCTACCGTCAAGCAATTTTGTATTCAACTGCTAGCTCTCCCTGGATCCCATGTGATCTAACCTTACTAACAGAACCTTGTTGAAGGCCTTGATAAAGTCTACTTGGACATCATCTACTACTCTGCCTTCATCTATCTTCTTGGTCACGTTTTCAAAAAACTCAATCAAGTTTGTGAGACACAATTTCCCATGCAGAATGTCATGCTAATTATCCCTAAACAGCCCTAACTTTCCAAATGCACATAGATCCTGTCTTTCAGAATCCCCTCTGACAACATACCCACCATTGACGTCAGGTTCACCACTCTGTAGATCACTGGCTTTCCCTTGCAGCCTTTCTTAAATATGGCACAACATTAGCTATCTTGAAGTCTTCCGGCACCTAACCTGTGGCTGTTGATGATACAAATATCTCTGCTAGGGCTATGAAATTTCTTCCTGAAGTTCCTACAATGTCCTGGGATACTCTTGATTAGGTCCCGGGGATTCATCCCCCTTGATGTGTTTTAAGATCTCTAGCACCTCCTCTTCTGTAATGTGGACTCTTTTCAAGACATCACCCTTCATTTCCCCAAATTCCATAGCTTCCATGTCATTCTTCACATTAAATACTGACGTGAAATGTTCAATTAAGATCTCACCCATCTACATAGAACATAGAACAGTACAGCACAGGCCCTTCGGCCCACAATGTTGTGACGACTTATTATCCTACTAAGATCAAACTACTATCCTCCATGTGTCTATCCAAGAGTCCCTTAAAAGTCTCTGAAGTATCCACTTCCACTGCCGGCAGCGCATTACACACACCCACCACTCTCTGTGTGAAGAACCTACCTCTGACATCTCCCCTATACCATCCACCAATCACCTTAAAATTATGCCCCTCGTAATAGCCATTTCTACCCTGGGGAAAAGTCTCTGGTTATCCACTCTATCCATGCCTCTCATCATCTCGTACACCTCTATCAAGTCACCTCTCATCTTTCTTCGCTCCAATGAAAAATGCCTTAGCTCCCTCAACCTTTCCTCATAAGCACTGTCCTCCAGTCCAGGCAGAATCCTGGTAAATCTCCTGTGCACCCTCTCTAAAGCTTTCACATCTTTCCTATAATGAGGTGACCAGAACTGAACACAGTATTCCAAGTATGGTCTAACCAGAGTTTTATAGAGCTGCAGCATAACCTCACAGCTCTTAAACTCAATTCCCCTGCCAATGAAAGCCAACACACCATACCCCTTCTTTACAACCCTATCAACTTGGGTAGCAACTTTGAGGGTTCTATGGACGTGGACCCTGAAATCCCTCTGTTCCTCCACACTGCTGAGAATCCTGCCATTAACCCTGTATTCTGCATTCAAATTCGACCTTCCAAAATGAATCACTTCACACTTTTCTGGGTTGAATTCCATCTGCCACTTCTTTGCCCAGTTCTGCATCCTGTCAATGTCCCTACAACAGCCCTCCACACTATCCACAACTCCACCAACCTTCGTGTCATCAGCAAACTTACTAACCCACCCTTCCACTTTCTCATCCTTGTGGTTCCACACATAGAGGGCCTCATTGATCTTTACGGGGCCCTATTCTCTCCTTAGTTACTGTTTTCCCTTCATATACTTGTAGAATCTCTTTGGATTTTCCTTAACCTTATCTGCCAAAGCCATCTCCTACATCCCCTGTACTCCTCAAGGGATTCACTTGATCCCAGCTGTCTATTCCAGATACATGCCTCCTTTTATTTCTTGACCAGAGCTTCAATAGCTCTAGTCATCCAGTGTTCCTTCCTCCTGCTAGCCTTGCCCTTCACACTAGCAGAAACATGCTGTCCCTGAACTCGTTATCTCATTTTTGAAAGCCTCCCACTTGCCATATGTCCCTTTTTCCTGCAAACAGCCTCCCCCAAACAATTTCTGTAAGTTCCTGTCTAAGACCATCAAAATTGGCCTTACCCCAGTATAGAACTTGACGACCAGGCCTATCCTTTTCCATTATTACTTTAAAACTTATAGAATTACGGTCACTGGTCCTAAAGTGCTTCTCCACTAACACCTCAGTCACTTGCCCTGCCTTATTTCCCAAGAAGAAGAGTTTTGCTCCTTCTCTAGTAGGGTCATCTACATATTGATTGACAACCTTTTCTTGAACACACATAACAAATTCCTCCCCATCCAAGCCCATAACACTTTCGCATTCCCAGTCTATGTTTGAAAAGTTGAAATGCCCTACTATTAGAACCCTATTATTCTTTCTGCTATCTGTGATAATCGCTATATATCTGCTCCTCAAATTCCTGCTGACTATTGAGGGGTCTATAGTATAATCCCATCAAGTGATCCCTCTCAATTCCACCTACATAGCTTCACTGGACGATCCTGCAGGTATATCCTCTAAGCACTGCCATGATGTTTTCCTTTATCAAAAACTCTACTTCTCCTCCTCTCTTGCCTCCCTTTCTGAACTTTCTATAACATCTATATCCCAGAACATTGAGATGCCAGTCTTGTCCCTTCCTCAGCTATGTTTCTGTAATTGCTATGATATCCCAGTCCCATGTTTCCATCCATGCCCTGAGTTAGTCTGCCTTACCTATCAGGCCTCTTGCAGTTTACTTCATCTGTTTCCCTCATTCTCTGTCGTCCTCTTGCCTGCACTGTCTATTTAACTTGCTCTTTTTAACTTCTACACCAGCTTTAACCTTCACTCTTGTTTCACTATTGCTTAGGATCTCACCCCCCAGGATTAATTTAAACCATTCCAGGTAGCTCTAGCAAATCTCCCCAACAGGACACTGGTCCCCTTCCAGATCAGGTACAACCTATCCTGCTTGTACAGATCAATTCTGCCCAGAGGAGAACCCAATGATCCAAAAAATCTGAATCCCTGCCCCCTGCACCAACCTGATTTAATCCTTTAAAAGCACTTTAAAAGCAAATATTAAAATCAGATTTTCAGGAATTTGTCTTGACTGATCTCATTTAATCCAGTGCTACGTGAGTCCTGTTGCCTGCATCAATGACACATTTGGCAGATTTCCACTGACCCTGGAAATATCTCATGCGCACCTGCATTTTCCCAGACTTTTCACCACAGTGGAAGCTTTGTCACAGAAGAATGAATTTGGAAAATTATTCTTATATCCAAAAAATAAAATTTGAAAAATTGATCATAAAACACTTACTTGAATATTCTTCTTTTCAGTGTATCTAGTGACAATGATGTACATTTCACTAAGGCATCAATGAAATGATGGCTAAAATATGCGTAAAGATCTTTAACATCCTAAAACACAGAAAATAAAAAGATTACAAACAAGTGCTAGGAGTTCTATTGTTAATGACAAAATGACTACATTAATTCATTGAAATTTAAAGCCCTCTGCAGGGTCATTTAACTCATGAGTGAAGTTTTAGCCCTAAAGGCTAATTCGGTCCAAATGGGGGACTGAGATAATTTTGACAAGGAGAGAGTAGTCAGTGATTAGAAGATAGAAAGGGCAACCACAGAATTGTAGGCTGCAATCAGGAAACAAGTAGGATGATCAGTCAGTGGGTGATGTGGGGTTGTGATGATGGAGAGACAAAACAATGCAATAAACTTTTGGGATAGTAACAGAGTCTTGAGAGGAAACAAGTGACGGTATGATGAAAAGTCACATCCTGGAAATATTGACACTGTTTCTCTCTTGATAAATGCTGGCAGACTTTGTATTTTGCATTTGCAGCATTTTCTGCATCCTCATCTCTGTTCTGGCATTCAATTCTATTTTCTAGGTTTAGGATCTAGACTCGTGAAGGACAATTTCTGGTGGAACCAAACTGTGCAGCAATGATAGTATCACTAATGACAGTTTCTAATAATTGGGAGAAGGCTGACACAAAGCTATTTGCCTGTGCTCAATTGATTGAGGTGAAATTGACTCTTGCAGATGAGCTGGTGCATTTGCGTCATATCATGCTTATTTCTTTTGCAAATAATTTTAAATAAGTGCCCTCTTGATTTTGATCCTCTGATAAGCAGGAACAGTTTCTTCCTACCAAATCTACCCAGCACCCCCATGAACTTGAAAACTTCTGTCATATCTCCTCAGCATTTTTTCCTTCAAGAAGAACTGTTTCCAATGAAGTTTCTTATTGCTGGAATTATTCTTGAAAATTTCTTCTGAACTCTTTCCAATGTGCTCACATCATTCCAATAGAGTGGCACTAGAACTGTACACAACATCCCAGCTGAGTAATATCCACACATATTTAGATATTGTCCCACATTGGCTACACCTCTGCAGTAGAATGTAACACAGAATATCAGTGCACAGCCCTGTTACAGCTTTATTTCACCTCTAACTCTCAAACAATTTATTGTCTCTTAACTGGCAGTTTGCCAGTTTGATATCCAGTACTAGATGAATAGAAATTCCTTCCAATAAGATCTTGAGAACACTAAAGCCATTGTCTTTGTGACCATCACTAAGGAGAAGGTGTTGGGGAAGCTAAAAGGTCTGAAGATGGATAAATAAACAGGACCAGATGGACTACAATCCAGAATATGAAGAAGATGGCTGAAGAGATTGTGGAGGCATTGGTCGTGATCTTTCAATAATCACTGGAGTCAGGGAAGATCCCAACGGCTAATATAGCAACCTTGTTTAAAAAGGGAGGGAGACAGAAATCAAGAAACTATAGGCCAGTTAGCCTGACCTCAGTCGTTGGTAAGATTTTACCGTCCATTATTAAGGAAGAGATTGCGGAGTACTTGAACGTGCATGGTAAAACAGAACTGATTCAGCATGCCTTCGTCAAAGGGAGGTCATGCCTGACATATCTGTTAGAATTCTTTGAGGAGATGGTATGCAAGTTAAACAAAGGAGAATGACTGGACATGATTTATTTGAATTTGAATAAGGCCTTGACAAAAGTCCGAACAAGAGGCTGCTAAATAAGATTCGAGCCCATGGAGTTAGGGGCTAAGATGCTGGCACAGATAGAGGATTGGCTGACTGGCAGAAGGTAGACACTGGGGATAAAGAGACCTTTCTCAGGATAGTTTTGCTGCTAAACGGCATGACAAACTCTCCTTAATATCTGTACATTCAGACAATGAAGGCCATCAATTTAACTGGGACAAAGTAACCATAGCAGCCCAAGCCAAACTTAGACACACACGGGAATTCCTAGAGGCATGGTTTCCCCACCCACACAAACATATAGAATTGAACCCCATATACAAACCCATACAGATCAAAACTGGAAATGACAGTACTCAGCATAATGGACTAGACGGCATACATTCCAAACGGAGTAGAATAACATCGCTTTATCGGAGGCTCCACTGATGTTGTCACTTAGCATGGTGACGAAACGTCTGAACAAAAACAAGCCAGCTCGGCGAACAAGTCAATAGCCTCATACATTAACGATCTGGGTAAAGGAACTGAAAGCACTCTAGCTAAGTTTGCAGATGACACAAAGACAAGTGCAGGGACTGGCAGTGCTGAGGAGGTGGGGAGGCTGAAGAAGGATTTGGGCACGCTAGGAAAGTAGGCAAAGAAATGGCAGATGCAATACAATGTGGGAAAGTGTGAGGTTATGTACTTTGGTAGGGGAAATAGAGACAATCTATTTTCTAAATGAATCATAGAATCCCTACAGCCCATCAAGTCCGCACCAACCCTCCAAGGGACATCCCACTCACTCCCTTTCCTATCCTCGTAACCCTGCTTATCCCTTGGCTAATCCACCTAACTTATGTATCCCTGAACACTATGGGCAATTTAGCATAGCCAAACCACCTAACCTGCACATCTTTGGGCTTCGGGAGGAAACCGGAGCACCTGGAGGAAACCCATACAGTGAGGGGAGAATGTGCAAACTCCATCCAGACATGTGCCCGAGAGTGGAATCAAACTGGTCCCTGGTGCTGTCAGGCAGCAGTTCTAACCACTGAGCCACCATGCTACCCTTGGGAGAATGGGGAAAGGCTTCAGAAGTCTGAAGCAAAAAGGGACTTAGGAGTCCTAATTCAGGACTCAGTTGGGCACAGTCAGTACTTTGCTTATTGCGAGTGTATGAAGTGTTATGCTACAAAGCAATTTAGGATTGCATGTACTGGAAGCTAAGTATATTACTACACAGGGTCCTGTTCTTTGCATACAGAAAGAACATGTAGAAACACTGCATCTGTGTCACCTAAACAAAATAGGTGCTTTGCTGGATCATTTCTCAGGGCAGTGCCCTGACCAAACAAAGTCAACCCACCTGGCTTGAAATTCAAACAAAGGTTGGCAATTAACTGTCAATCATCATAAGTGGTGCAATGGTCTTAGCAACACCATCATTAAATAAAGTCCAGTTAAGAATCAATCAGCAGTCTCCTCTCAAGCAGATTATATGTTGATTTTGCCCTTGAATTGCGGGCGAGTTATTCTGATGAATGAAAGAGGAAAACATGAAAGCACTTCAACAACATATCTTTTTCAGTAATATTAAATTTCCATGCTGCCAAACAATTGTAAGACTGCATTCATTGAGATTTGACAGAAATATTCCAAATATTATTTCAACTGTTAGAAATCAGTTCCACAAGACCATAAAACATAGGAGCAGAAATGAGGCCACTCAGCCCATCAAGTCTGCTCTACTTTTCAATCATGGCTGATAAGTTTCTCAACGCCATTCTCCTTCCTTCTCCCTATAAGCTTTGATCCCCTTAACAATCAAGAACCTATCTATCTATGTCTTAAATATACTCACTGACCTGGCCTCCACAGACTTCTGTGGCAATGAATTCCACAGATTCATCACTCTCTGGCTGAAGATGTTTCTCCCCATCTCCGTTCTTCCCTTTTCCCATGGGTCCTAGTCTCTCCTGCTAATGGAAATATCTTCCTAACAACCACTCTATCCAGGCCTCTCAGTATTCTGTAAGTTTCAATTAGATTCCCCTCATCCTTCTCACCTCCAGCAGGTATAGACCCAGAGTCCTCCAACATTCCTCATGTATTAAGCCTTTCATTCCCAGGATCATTCTTGTTAAGCTCCTCTGGACCTGCTCCAGGGCCAGTACATCCTTTTTGAGATATGGGGCCCAAAATTGCTCACAATATTCTAAATGTGGTCTGACCAGGGCCTTATAAAGCCTCAGAAGTATATACCTGCTTTTATATGCTAGTCCACTAGCTGGACTACTTCAGATGCCCACATTTCAAAAGTGGAAACCATATAGGATTTCTCAATGCAAAGAGCGCTAGAAGTTTATAATTTCCATAAATAGCAGCTGATGTTAAGTCAAATGGTATTTTTTGCTAACTAAGATTATTAACAGATATGAGGTAATGGCAGATATAGAGTCTGAATACAGGTCAGGCATGATTTCTTTGAATGACAGAATAGCTCTAGTGGCTAAATAGCGCACTCCTATTTCACTGTCTTCTTCCAAGGGCTTCCAAGGCTACTTCCTCAATTTACACTCAGTGCTTTCCACGTGTCAAGCTCCAATCACTGGAGAAGCAACCCCTTGGAATAACCAAATAGGCAGAGAAACATGAGAGGCAACAAATAAGAGAATGCACAAGTGTAAACAGTCTTTTTTGCACATTTTGAGATGATTGATTTGGTACATTTTGTTATTGCCAAGAGAGCAAAATGCCAAGATGTGTTGAGGTTGATCCCTCTACAATTGTAAACCAACTGGCCCTAAGACCAAGTCAGGGAAAAAGGATTTGTAGCAGCATCCTCCTACCCAGAATTAAGGGACTGTGGTTGCTACAAATCTGAAATCAGAAGACTCAGATTTTGGGCAGCTTCTGTTAAGAAAAACAGAGTCAATGTTTCAGGTTGATGGCCTTTCAACAGAACTAAAGAAAAGTGAAATGTCAGAGTTTTAAAATTGGTAGAGTGGGGAGGTGCAAGGAAGAACAAATCAGAAGGTTATTATACAGGGGCAGTGAGAGCAGATTAAACAATAAAGGATTTCATGATACAGTAAGCAAGGACAGCAGTAATTGATATAGAGAATTAAGTGTGTCCAAATGAGATGTAAATGATTGTAAATATAAAAAAATCTGAATAGAACGAGGCATTCAGCATGATTGTCTTCATCAGTCAGAACTTTGAGTATAGGAATTGGGACACCATATTGCAGCTGTACAGGTACATTGGTAAAACCACATTTGGAGTACTGTGGACAGTTCTGGTCACCCTGCCGCAGGAATAATATTATTACATTGGAAAGGGTGCAGAAAAGATTTACAAGGATGTTATCAGTACTAGAAGATTTGAGTTATA